CGACCTGTTGATCTCGAAGTTGGGCGTCTACGAAGTCCTTCATTCTGTTTAACAATACTCTGTTGAAGACTTTGCCTGGTATTGAAAGAAGAGTGATGCCTCTGTAATTCTCACACTTGCTGAGATCGCCTTTCTTTGGTATTTTGATCAGGTATCCTTCTTTCCAATCTGATGGTACTTGTTCCTCATCCCAAATCTTCTTGAAGAGGATGTGAAATATTTTCGCAGTTGCTTCTACATCTGCTTTCATTGCCTCTGCTGGAATGTTCTCTGGTCCTGTCGCTTTGCTGCTCTTGGTTTGTCTGATGGCCATACTGATCTCCTCAGTCGTAGGTGCGCCAATATTAATTGGGAGGTCTTTGGATGCTCCTTCGATGTTGGGTGGGTTCAGTGGAGCTGGTCGATTCAATAGTTCCTTAAAGTGCTCTACCCACCTATTTCGCTGTTCTTCAGTGTTGCTGATTACTTTGCCTTCCTTGCTTTTCACTGATCGTTCAGGTTTACGATAGTTTCCGGCCAGCTTCTATGTTGTTTCGTACAATTGTCTCATGTTTCCGTCTCTTGCAGCCTTTTCCGCCGTCATTGCTAGATCTTCCACATATTTCCGTTTGTCAGCTCTGATGCTCTTCTTCACTTCCCTGTTTTCTTCTGTGTATGCAGCTTGTGCGGTAACTTTCTCTGTTCTTGTTCGGGTGACATTGATTGCTGCCTTCTTGTTCCTCCTTTCTTCAATTTTTTCAAGAGTACCAACAGAGATGCATTCCTTATGATGGTACTTCTTGTGGCCCAGAACTTCGTGGCATGTTGAAGTGATTGCCTCCTTAATCCCTTTCCAATTGTTCTCCAACGTTGCGTCCTCTCCATTGTGTAGATCCTGAAAGGCCTGGAACCTATTGGTGAGGGCTATCCTGAATTCAAAGATTGAGGTGGAGTATAAACTAACCAACTACGGAAACATAACATTTATCAAAATTTAATCGAAACTGGTCATTTTTACAATAACATTGTATGGTGAGCTAAACATTCCAATATTCTGTAGTAACAATATTTTTTCAGTCTCATAACTCTTAAAATCTTGATGTAATCTAAATGAAACCTATGACTTGATGTTAAAATCCTGAACAGCTATTTTCTTTATCGCCTAGTTTTTCTTTTTTCCATTATTCATTGAACATACTGAATAATTTATCAGTAGTATAATCGTAAATTGATCTTTTTCTTATGTTGACTAATAATACTTTATTTATTTTAATATTTTAATAAAGAAATATAAAGTGGTGACATAAAGAAACCTCTAGCAATTTAAAATTGTATGAAGAAAAACTAAAATACGAAATACAAATTCAAGTTGTTCATTGTTTCATTTATATACAATATCATTTATTTGAATCTGCAATTACCATTATTACGGACTATCATTAATTTTGAATTTATGTAGTAGATTTAAAAATTTGTACCATTAACAGAAAAAATCTGTAAATCTTTATAAGTGCTTGATAAACTTAGGAAAAAGGAAAATTTTAATATACAAGTGTAAAATGAGGATATTTTGTAAGAGTACAATCCTACAACTATTTTGAAAAATTATTCTTTAAACATTCTCATTCCATACTGTTTGGCTACAATTTTAAATTTGGATGATCATATTTAAATCAGTATTTTTTCCAGTAGAGTTTTCTCAAGATAATATTTCAATTGGTCAGTTAGTGAGTTTAACGATTATTTATATTACAAGTTCATGTTCAGCTTCACTTAGGTTGATTTTGTTGATTAAGTAACATCATTGATCTTTACTTAGGAAGTATAAAACACATAGTTGAATATTTGAAGTATGATTACAGATTAATACTACTTTATCTTGTATTCATTTGTTTGATCTCTGTCATTAATGAATATTCAATTTTGGAATTATACTAAGTATATTAAGTTTTATATGCAATTACATGAACATTTCATACATCGTTAACTTTGTAATGTAAGAAATTTCATGCTGATATCATTTGAACTTTTCCGTTCGAAATACTCTCATATGGCCGCTACCAAGGAAGTCCTACCCATTGCCTTCTCATGGTCAGGGTGTTGTTTATGAATACTGAGAGGATGAAAAGCGAATATCCAGTGCTTAAATTGAGTTGGTGGGTACGAAGGATCTACTTCGGGGAGTTAGAAAACATTCGTTTCAAACGACAGTTACACATCGGCTTCAGGATCCTGAGGGAACAACCGGTGCATGAACTTATTGTTGGTCACCGGCTACCATAGAATCTCATCTCCTAATGTTAATTCACTACCCTGCGGACTGAACCTCTGGGTCCAAGGCTTGCTTGCTTCAGTTTGAGAGTCCGGGCATTATACCAAGTTGCATAAAAATTAGTGTTTTAGGGCGGCGCATCAATAAAAGTTAAAAATAGTTGTCACAGTAAGCCAACTATTACAGTGATCTAATACTACCTATTACATAACATTTTCTATCAATATTCATTAAGGTTCATTCAATAATATTTTTGGTGAATATAATCACTCTATATTCAATACACTAATACTTATCAATTTAATATATTTTCAATATATTTTGTGTATAACTCATTTGTATTGGTAGTTTCAATCTTTCCCATTGATGTTTAGCATTGCAATTTATCAGTCTTATTTGGTAAATGTATATCCTATGTGGATTGCCTCGATATAACCATTAGGTCGCAACTATATTAAGTACAAATGGATAGTGATTAGTAGTGTAATCTAGGACGCTCGTTTCGTCCTGTTTGTGACTCGTCAGCTGAATGGCACCTGGATCTCAGAGTTGATGTTCACAACAAATGGGAAGATTGAAACTGCCTATACGAAGGAATTAATCCTCACTCCATCGCATAAGCCAGTGTCTGTTTGGACTCAACAACTAAAGGGATAGTGCGATTGCGTTTGTAGCGAACGACAATAGGCTAGAGTCTTTGAATGAACATCAACTCTGAGATGCAGGCTTGTCGGGCTGACGAGTCTTAAATAAGACAAAAAGCGCCTACTGAATTCCACTTCTAGCCACTATCCATCAATGTATATTTTGTGTTTGTTTCCTAATCATACAATTTTCGGTCGCATTCCGAACATCATTCTCAACTGTTTTTTTAACCTTGAGTATAGAAAACTCTAGAAAAGTTTACTGGACAAAACGTTGAACTGATTGAAATTTTAATAGCTTAGATTTTATTTTAAACATAATTTTCACAAATTTTCACAAAGACTATACCTATCATAATATTCTTATTTATAATTTCAGTATATTTAAAGTACTACTTCATTGAAATATCACATATTAAGTCAATTAAACTGTAAAACAAAATACTTGTCTCAATATATATATATATATATATGCAAGAAGAGTATTGAATTCATACTCAAAATATTCATTAATATGTATCACTTAAAAATAAAAGAAACGAGTGTTTCATACAATTCAAGTACAGTTGTTTATTTTTTTAATAAATGCATATTCAAAAATAAATCTGGAACTCTAAACAACTTTCAACCAAAAACAAAATCACGATTTTCATTACAGATGTGAAGACAGTTCTACTGTATGGAGTGGAAACATGGAGAACTACCAAAGCCATCATCCAGAAGATACAAGTGTTTATTTACAGTTGTCTACGCAAAATACTTCGGATTCGTTGGCCAGACATCATCAGCAACAACGTACTGTGGGAAAGAGAGAACAAACTAGAATGTAGTGGATGAGGAAATCAGGAAGAAGTGGTGGAAGTGGATAGGACACACATTACGAAAAACACCTAACTGCGTCACGAGACAAGCCCTTATACGGAACCCTGAAGGCAAAAGGAAAAGAGGAAGGCCAAGGAACACATTACGCCGAGAAATAGAGAAAGATATGAGAGGAATGAACAAAAGTTGTACAGAACTGGGAAGTGAAGCCCAGAACAGAGTAGGTTGGAGAAAACTGGTGTGCGGCGTATGCTCGATTGGGGGTAACAAGCGTAAGTAAGTAAGTAAGTAATCTTGACGGAATCATGAAAATGAGTTTTCGATACTTGAGCTTCTACGCCTTTGACTTTAGAGAAAATAGGATCTGACTTGTTTCAGTAAGATAGTAAAAATTTGACAAACTTTGGATATTTGCTAATCATGAAGTTAGCTTGTACATCGTTTATGAATAAAAGTCCAGGGCTTTGAATTGCTATTCATTTAAATGACAGAAGATTTCGACGTTACACAGAAATGGAGGGAATTCATGATCACAGACTTATCTTATCTGTCAAAAACCTGTTAGTTCATTCAACAATTTTGTAGTGATCTGATAGTACTGTCTGACTTTTCTTACAGTAAGCCATTTTAATTGACGTACAACATTTGTAAACATTCTTCATTCTACTCATCAACCTCATAGTTCATTTAAGCCAAACATTGTAATCCTTACTTAGCCAAATTATCTATACCATTAATTTGAAATATTTATTACATCCTGTTATTTGAACTATTTCAATCTTGATGTCTTCTTGGAATCTTTCATAAGATCTTGAAATAATACGTTTTTTACTGAGATATGTACACTGATTGATCAGAAATTAGTAACCATTATTAATATTTGTTTAATCCTGAATGGTGATTGTGGAGTAGAAAACTTGAAGGGAACAGTCGTTCAAAGATCAATATATTTAAGTAGTTCACAAATGATGCTCATGCATCGTAAACCTAACTGTTTATAACCAGAGATCTTTAATATTTTATTATGAAGTTAAAATCCACTTACATATTTGATACCACTAACTAGAATATCGACTAATATATACAAATATATGTAAGGAAGTCGATTCATACTTTCCAAGAAATGATGGAGGCATACTTTATTGATGTAAATTCAAACAAATACAAAACATTTAGCATTTGAAATTATTCAAGGCAGATAGATTTATGTTCATTATTGTGATTGTGTTCAGGTAATTTGTTATGAGGTTGATCGTTATACTGTTCCATTGATATATTTTCAGCTATTTTTGTATTACTGATTTCATAATTTGAATGATGACAACGATGTTGGTGAGAATGCTGTTGATAATAATCTTTTTGTCAGTTGCATCTTTTTTTTTATCAGGAATTTGTTTTCTATCAATGTCTTCATCTTTATGCTCATCTGATCGACTTTGTTTCACCTTGTCACTAGATTGTTCCTCCGATTGAACTGGAGTATCATGACTCTCTTTAGTCTCAACATGACTAGTTGGAATTACTGATTGAGGTGAAGCGGGTTTCATTGATGGATGAAGGTAATATTCTTTCGGTTTTGATGCATAATCTACATTCAATGGTCGATCGTCTGGTTGGTGTAAGTGAGCATCAAATACACGTGGATGTTCATCAGTCATTTGTTTATGTTCATGATCTGGGTTTTCCGAATAATGTTGTATGTTGTGTGGATGATGATGGTGATGATGATGATCATAATGATCATAATGTCCGGGTTGAGTTTCATGCCTTCTGTCATTCTCTCGATGACGGTCACGATGATGAATTCCATGTGGGTTAGGGTGTGAATGAGCATTTTCGTTATTGTTATCACGATGTGGTTCTGATTGATAATCGTTATTTCTGTGATTCACAGATAATATCATCACAATTTGTGAAAATACTAGTGTTAATGAGACTAAATTCATTATGAATAGTTTCATCCTCTTTAACTCTCGACTTAGTCACACCACTTTTGTATTAGAATAAATTTAAATAATCATAAAATATATAGTGGACATTCGAACTGCAAAAAAAGAAAATGGTTTTGATCATAGTAGTTTCATTTTTTTTTGTCAAATATTTATTTATCTTGTAGAATATCTTTAAGTCACATGTTCTGATCAATGGATAAGTGCACTTGGTCAAACAATGTGCCTTTTGTTTTTCAAGAGAACAGATTTAAAACTAATTTATTGCAAAATTCAAGCTTAATTTTATTTCATTCTGAAAGAAGAGCACGGTTAATTAAAAATTGAGAGAATTTTGTAATTTTTCCTATAATATATTTTAGAAATGAAACCCCATCAGTTGAGGACGTTGGGACATGTGTTACGTATTTCCGACCACCGACTGCCTCCTCGACCTATGTTTTGTGGTGTAGAAGTAGGTTGAGAGAAAGCTAGGAGCGGTCAGACAAAAGCATGGCACAAATCCATGAAATCACTAACAAGTGGACTGAGTTCATGTTGGTAGATGTAGGCTACCAAGTTGGGGTCCACGAGACGATAGTCATCCAATGGTTAGAGACGTTGAACGACATGGCTCAAAATCGTTTGCAATGGCGCAAGTGCATTCATTCATCATGTTCTCTAAACCTCTGAATTCCTCATCATCTCTGTCTTTCGCTTTTTCTTTTAAGTTTATTTCACTAGATTCTACTTCTGGATTAGTATCGTCGAAGCCTTATCTCTCCGATTACTTCTGATACTTCTACTACCTCTACTACTATGGGATTTGAAGTGACAATCGCATCTCTGTGCTAGTGGGGTATGGCAACCTGAACTGATGTACGTACGTACGAAATTAATTTAAAGGGTTTTCATAGTTAGTGATATACACTTATAAGAATGACAAGGACTCAGATGAAGCAACATATACAGTATATTGTATAAATAGCGATAAATACATTTCTTATCCTATTATCAAACGTTTTTCGGCAATAGTAAAGAGTAGCTAAGGACGTCTTTAGGGATAAAACAGGCATGTATGTTGTGCAGCAGCTGGAGATTATCAGGATTTATTAAAATGATTTATTTGATGAAGATAGTAGAACGCTTTATTGAAAGCAGTCATAAAATTTTCACATGCAGTTCAACTAACGTATATCTACAATTCATTCCATTCCGTAATATGACCAGAACACTGAAATTATTTATTCCTTTTTTATCATTGTAGTGTTTCGCTCTCTGAGATGGATGTTTCAGTTCATCATCCATGTGAGCTATAAATTTTCTTCAGCATCTCAGTTTTCATCAGGAAAAAAGAGACAGACACTTGGCGAATTCGAAAGTATACAAAAGAACAGAATCTGTGATCCTACTTTCTTAATTCTTCAGAAATAAGTTTCAAGAAGAATTAGGGGAAAATTACTAATGTTCTTTTTGGTTCTGAAGATTAGATTCGTGTGCTTAACAGCGATAGAACAGAAAGCAAATCAATTTGACCAAGATGGTCTTTAAAATTCTATGAACAAAATTTATTTAGGAGTTTAAAACATCATGCTTTATCTTGGTAGATAACTTTTGATTCACGTGCAACAAGTTGAATCTATAATCGTGCAAAGACTATGGAGAAGATGCATTAAAATGTGTACTTATATTCCTTTCAAGAAAATGAAATAAAATATTTAAAAACATAAACCAATTTGAGGCTGATCAATAACAAAATAACAACATCAATATAAAGAGCTTTTCTGGCATTTATTGACCACTTTATTATCTAAAAGAAGTAGAGCATACGGTATCATACTATATTCAGTATTAATTTCTGCATTCTTAGAGACTTCTCAACAGTAAGTATGCTTGACTATACAAAAGATCAAGTACTTAGTGCTCTCAAAAAACATGAAAGTTATCGAATAAAAATTTAGCGACTAAGAGTTCCAGATTAAATTAACTTCCGTTAAAATCTTTTTTATATAATGTTTTGATTGAGTTATTGTTTCAGTTGTCTACTTGGCTAACTCTATGATTGTATCCTAAGAATGCTTCAAATACTTAGCTGGAATTTCAAAAGTACTGAGTTAAGATAAATGTGAGCATGTCTATTCTTCAACCAGAGTGGTAAACAAAGATTTATTAGACTTAATAAGTTATTCGCTGTAAGACTGCAAGCTGACATTTACTGAAACTGATTACATACTTTGAATTATAAAAGCGTGAATATATTTAAAAAAGTATGTTCATTGAATCGTGTTATGTACTAAAATGTTATGAATGAATGAACAAGTACTTAATTACGCCTTTTACCCCTAATGAAACATGGGAAACTTAGACTTTCCGAGGCGTTCCTTTCAAGTTCTAACGAAGATCTTTTCATTCTTTTCAAACCTGTCTCCAATTCGTAACTCACTGCGTATTTTGGTCTTCTTCTTTTACTCTGGCCTTGAGGATTCCAAGTTAAGGCTTGTCATGTCATGTAGCCTGGTGATTGCTGCGATGTGTGTCCTATCCACCTTCAGTGCTTTCTCCTTTTTTGTTCCTCACCTTTTGTTTTGAGCGTTCTAGTGTAGCGATTGCTTCGTGGTGAAGTTTGATCATTTAGTGATGTGTATCCTATCTACTTTCAAAAAGTTTCCTTAACTTTATTCCTTCATCTGGAAGCTGGTTTGTCATTAAATATTTCAACAAGTTTCGTCAACCATATTATCGGTGAACGATTACTTAGTCAATGCTGAAATATTATCAGTTAAATTTTTTAAATCCGTATCGGAATATTGTTTTTTAAGCTTATTTTTAGCGAAAGTATAGTATAGGACTGAAATCAAACTAACTACAAATAATTTTTAGCCAGTTCTTAGTAAACTGAAATACATCCTTTATAAAGTGTGAATAGCATATAAATATTTGATTAGGAATTTAGAGTAAATCTAACAGGTTTAGCGTTAAGGTTTACATTACAAGCTGACATCCACTATAAATGAAATCAAAGAATTTCACTAGAAAATCCAATAGTTTCTTTTTAATTAGTTCATCTATCATAAAATGTAGTACTACCGTGTTATGAAATGTTTTTGGTATTAAGAGTTTATAGTTAGGATTTAAAGGTATATTGACATGGTGGAGAACATTTGTAGCTCAGGTGCATGATTATGGTGCTGTTTCGTTCTCTGAGCTGAATGTTTCGGTTGTGGAGTTTTCATTGTTCTTCTTCTGAACAACATCATCAGCACAAACTTCAGATGGAAGTGAAGTATTCAAATTTCTCCACGTATGACCTGTAGCTTGTTCTGTTAACCTTGACCTTGATTGGTTGCTGTTGACCTTAAGATCAGAGAACGAAACTCCACCACAGATATATTTGCTAAGACAGCATTATAAAACCGATTAACCTGTTATATACAATTGGAGAAACAAAATTGAGTACATTATATGTTCAATACTGTAACTTGTGGCACTATGGTGTCAAAAGCAGTTTTACATTACCATTTCTAAACGTGAGTGGTATACAAAGAATTTTCTACTGCTGGTAATAAGTGATATTTAAATTCGAAGATCAACTCCAAAGCCATGTTCCAGATTCTGATTAACTCATCCTTATAAAATACTATGACTTTATCCTCTACGCTTGATAACACACAGCTACAGTTCGTTTTTCCTGAAACTTTCACATAAAGTACATTTTTTATAACTTACTCATACTGATTTCTCTTTTCAAGATAATAATAATAATAATAATTTCCTAACTGAAAGACACTGTCATATCCGATCCGATGCAGATAAGAGGGCACGGATTGGCAAAGCAAGGGCTGCATTTCTACAGTTGAAAAATATCTCGAACTCCAAACAACTTTCAAACAAAAACAAAATCAGGATTTTCAATACAAATGTCAAGACAGTTCTACTGTATGGAGCGGAAACTTGGAGAACAACGAAAGGAATCATCCAGAAGATACAAGTGTTTATGAACAGTTGTCTACGCAAAATACTTCGGATTCGTTGGCCAGACACCATCAGCAACAACGAACTGTGGGAGAGAACAAATCAGATTCGAGTGGAGGAGAAAATCAGGAAGAAGTGGTCGAAGTGGATTGGACACACACTACGAAAAGCACCTAACTGCGTCACGAGACAAGCCCTCACATGGAACCCTCAAGGCATAAGGAAAAGAGGAATGCGAAGGAACACATTACGCCGAGAAATAGAGAAAGATATGATAGGAATGAACAAACATTGGATAGAACTGGAGAGGGAAGCACAGGACAGAGTTTGTTTGAGAAAACTTGTGTGCGGCGTATGCTCGATTGGGGGTAACAGGCGTAAGTAAGTAAGTCATATCTAATTAATTTTCATTTTCAATAGTTCTCTATATGGTCTGCAAGTATTTGAATGAATATTATTCATAATTAGTGGTTCATATATTACTTTTTATTATAAAATTTCAATTTTAAAACAACTTTGCATACATAAATTTTATACAATCTGTGGAAGAAATTGAAAACAAGCAAATATTTTTTACGTTTATTCAGTAAAAAAAATAAGAAATTTTCTATTCTGATGATGCTATTTGTAAGTACCATCTTGATTACTGATTGAATTATATCAACGTGTATTGTTACCAAAAAAAAAATCATTCAAACAGTAATCTAGTAACGGAATTATTGACTAGAGAAATGCTCATCATTTCACAGTTCAAAATATGTGAAAAACTATCTATCGTAAGTAATAAGTCGATATGGAATACGATGAAGATATTGTCGTTTATCGACGGCCTCATATACTTCAAAATTCATAGGCATTTTCAACAGATTGCGTACAATTTGAAATCAGTAAGCATGATTAGTTGAACATAATACAACGAGCTTATTTGATTTTGTTTAGTTCGTCTCAACTACTAACAACCTGAAATCTTTTAGAATCACTAATATGAAAAGAATTCAACATACTTAATAGAAAATTTCTCGACAACTGATCAATAACGAGGTAGAGAAAAAAACAAACAAACAAGAGGGTGTCATAAAATAATCAAATAATCTATTATTACAAACCAATAATAATGGTAATCATTAGAAATCTCATAAATTATGCTCAGTTAGTTAAAATGTTACAGTAGGAATAGGAAAATAAACCTTATCAATAAAACCTCAGGGAATTTATCACGATAGCTTGAGTAAATATCGAAAAAAGGAACTAGTGATTGGATGTCATCTTGGAGCATTTCTACTTATCTGACTCAATTCTTGTGTCGATGAAATGATTGGAACTGCTACTGGCACATGCTGAAACATGCTACTGAAATCTAATGTAGATAGTAAGCTTTTATTTCCACTCTACTAATGTAATTGTCTTAGTAGATGAACTGATAGAGCAAATCTCAATAAAATCAATCAATGTTACTCATCTCAAATCGTTGTACTTATTGTTTTCAAACTTACAAAGTACAACTATGCATATGAAGCATCCTAATACTTTCAACAAATATTTAAAGTTTACGATGTCCATGGAGTTCGTGAAGCAGACATGCATTGAAGTGTTGTAAATATTACTAAGGACTGAGAACAATGCATTTCAGCTAATGTATTCGGTAATTTGTTTTTCGACTAACTAACTTACTTACTTACGCCTGTCATTCCATAATAGAGCATAGGCCACCAACCAGCATTTGCCAACTAACTCTGTCCTGGGCCATCCTTTCCAGTTCTACCCAACTGTTGTTCAATTTCTCGATGTGTGCTTCCGATTCTCAGCGTAATGTGTCGATTGGTCTTACTATTTTTCTTTTGTCACTGAAGATTCCAAGTGCGGGCTTGTCTTTTGGTGAGGTTGGATGATTTCCGTTATGTTTTTTTTTCTACTCATCCGCAGTGCTTTTTCATCATTTTTTCTTCACCTGGAATCTGATTTATTATCTCACACAAGGAGTTGTTGCTGATGATATGTGTCCTAAAGGATCTTCAGCTTTGTGATAGACACTGATGTTACTCAGTATAACAAGTTGTGAAGCAAGCTTATCTTCTGAAATCTTTTTGTTTGGCATAAAAACTAGTACAACGAGTGAGTTATCACTTTGCTCAAATTTGTCAACTCAGAATCCTGATGAACACAATTGAAATGCATGAACTGTATGATTCACTTTCAAAAACTGCATCGGCCTCTGGATAAAAAAATAACTTCAAAACGAAATAACTGCAATCCTTATCGTATACGGAATTATTCCCTGCAATAAATTTGTTACAGTAGAATTCTAAAAATCATCTATTTTGTTCTCATTGTGTTTAACACGTGTTGGTATGATTTTACGCAACACAATCTCCTTCAATTTTATATTTGATATTTTCGGATTTGAATGGATTGCATTAGTAAATCAACTGCCATTAATCAATGCTGGTTCTCCTCCGATTAACTGCTCAACTTGAAGGTTGTGGATCTAATCCCTGGTGGTGGAGTTAAGGACGCGCATTGTTGAGGATCCCAATACTGGGGTGAAACATATGTTTAACAGTTGTCTAAATTACGTCGATTTGTAGCCTCAAGAACATGCAATAATCGCCAGAATCCTATACTCTCATCTGTATATTTTAGATTTAAGATGATGGCTCGTTTAAACTTTTGGGATATGTTTCCGAACTGTGAAAATATTGTCATAACATTCCCTATATTAGACTTATTTGAACCAAATAATTAAGAATCTTAATCGTATGTAGTCACTCAGTATTATGAAAACCTTATAATTCCTTACATTGCTAAATGCTAAACATCTCAAACTGAAAAACTATACCTGTCAGAACATTTTTCTCCTGGTCTACAGTTTCGGAAAAAAAACTCATGTGGAGACACTCATTTTTATCATTGATGATTAATTTTACAAGGCAATGATTCTTGAATGTTCGTCAATAATTTCTAGAATCATATTTTAGTCTCATGATCATGCAGGAAAAGTTTGATTATACTTTCTTATTTCCAGCAATGTTTTAATTATAAATAATTGTCCAGTTTGTTTTATCGTGTAATCAGACGATAAATCTGCATTGTATGCAGACATCATATATTTGAATTTCAATAAATGTTTTAATAGTTTGGGAGATAGAACTGAATTTAAAAAGAAACCCATATTACAGTTGGCTAAATTAAAACTTGACTAAATACATCACAATTCTTAACTGTTACTATTTATTCATTGTCAAAATAAGAAAATATCCTAATTTATTTACTGAAAATTGCATAAAGTTGAGAAATCTAATGAAAGTTTACTAATATTGACATTCTTCAGTGAAAAGTAAAATTATTTCTAGAAACTAGAGTCAATTTTTAGACAACTATAATACTGGAAATAGGAATTAATAATCAGCTGCGTAACTTACTTACTTACTTACGCCTGTTACCCCCAATCGAGCATAGGCCGCACACCACTTTCCTCAAACCAACTCTGTCCCGGGCTTCCCTCTCCAGTTCTGTCGAATGTTTGTTCATTCCTATCATATCTTTCTCTATTTATCGGCGTAATGTGTTCCTTCGCATTCTTCTTTTCCTCTTGCCTTGAGAGTTCCATGTGAGGGCTTGTCTCGTGATGCAGTTAGGTGATTTCCGCAATGTGTGTCCTATCCACTTCCACCACTTCTTCCTGATTTACTCCTCCACTCGAATCTGGTTTGTTCTCTCCTACAGTACGTTGTTGCTGATGGTGTCTGGCCAACGAATCCGAAGTATTTTGCGTAGACAACTGTTAATAAACACTTGTATCTTCTGGATGATTCCTTTCGTAGTTCTACATGTTTCTACTCCATACAGTAGAACTGTCTTGTATTGAAAAACCTGATTTTGGTTTTGGTTGAATGTTGTTTGGAGTTCCAGTTATTTTTCAACTGTAGAAATGCAACCCTTGCTTTGCTAATCCGCACCCTCACATCTGCATCGGATCCACCTTGATTGTCGATGATGCTGCGCAGATGTGTAAAGGTGTTAACGTCCTCTATGGCATCTCCATCAAGAGTGATTTGGTTGGTGCATCGGAGAGTTTTGCTTTTTCCTTTATGTATATTGAGACCTACTGCTGCAGAGGCTGCTGCTACACTGGTCGAATCTACTGCGTAAAATATCCCAAAATGTTCCGATTTTCTAGTTTAGATTAGAAGTACTGTCTTGAGGTTATGACTACTACTGGTTATGGATCGAGTGAAAATCGTTATGTGAATAAAAGTTTCTTTTAGAATTTTTTGATTTTATAAACCAAAATTTTTTGAGTTATTTTTAAAAGATCATAAATACTACTCCCTATAGTTTAGTTTTCTCAATTATCAATTTTAAGTGTCTTAATATCCTATATATCCATACATCTTATTTAGAGTTTAATAAGATACAATCTATCCGCTGTTTAATTGTGAATTTCACTCAAACATCTAAGTCGTATTTTTAATCCGTTTCATTCTACAGTGAAGTACATTTTTACCAATGACACTAATAGTTCATGTAATCGTGTAAGAGATTACTAATGAGTAGTAATAAAGAATGAATTCATGAAAAAGATGACTGAAGTAGATAATTTCATTTGATATTCAACAGTATTGATATATTTCCGTTCTGTATTTCTTAATGTAAACAGATTCCTCAACAGCATGAGAGTTCTTTCATTTTCATTCTACCTGCTGAAAACAGTATGAAACCAGAAATTTCAAATGACATCAGTGTTTTTTTTTCCTGATTTTAAATTCAAAACGTTTTTCACAAGTGAATAATAAAAATAAACAACAACAATTTTAAATATTTCATGTTAATTTTATAAATTATTCTGATAGGATAATTTTAAATAATCTAATAAATTTCCCCTATTAAAAATAACTAAAACTAATAACTAACTGTAGTATGTTTACATAGAAAAAATTTCAAAATAAGATTTGACCAGATCAATCAATAATAGGCAATTCAGTCAATACGACTCAAAAGCATCCATTAGAATAGGAAATTTTCAAGGTCACTTGCATGATTGGTTGATACTTTCATTTATCAATACTAATGATTAACCTATCAATTTTAGGAAAATGGAGAAGCATGCAATCTAAGTAGAAGTAGTAGTAGTAGTAGTAGCAGTAGTAGTAGTAGTAATATTATTTTTCACGATTAAACTGAATTTATATGATATCTGATGTTTTTCACACGTGAATAAATAAATATTTTTGTGATTTTCTTCACTTTTTATGTGAATGACCAATTATTTTAGATGATGATAATGATGATGATTACATATTTTTCAAAATTCTCTTAAATTGTATAAAGTAAACAGTATCAACTTTGTGGATTATTATCATTATTTCTATGATTGTTTTAATGGAATATAATTTTTGAAAAAAATGAACTGAAATGGGTAATGAAACTAGTCAAACATCAGGAGGACAGGAGAATGTGACTAGTACTGATGACACTAGTCACAAACGTAGTCAATCATTACAACGTGATTTGGCTTTTTATCATGTACAAAATTCATCTGATACCGGATTAGGCTTATCATCAAATTCAATGAAAAGTCAATCACAAAGTTGTTTACGTGAAATGTATGAATTAAATGATTACAGCCAAGACAGACCAAGTCCAAAATTACCTGTAGATACTACATCAACCACTGGAATAGCTTTACTTAAAACTGTACAAATGGAATTGACTGATGAAGAAAAAGAACGTATACAACAAGTGTTAGCTAGAGCACGTCTTGTAGAAATGAAAGAAGATGAACGTGTAATGTAAGTCCAATGGAGAGAATATGTGTTTTCAAAAAAAATTTTAGTTGCTTGATTTCTGAAAAATTGCATGTCAATTATACATAAATTTCTCACTACGAGGGAAACGATAGACTTCTTGATCTTTTCAGTGAAAAATACAATGGTTTTCATTTCACTGAGCATAATGTATAGTTTCATTGTAATGATATTGACGATGATAGCTTGTAACATGATTCTAGTTTGTTTATTGCGAAGTAACATTAGTCATGTACCAACAGTTGAACTTTCACGAAAGTAAATTTAGACAGATAGACTTTTCATCAATTGAAGTTAGAAATTTCGTATTCTACTGTATAGTTCAATAAACTAAATCGATTGTTCGTTCGTTTGCTTGCCTTTGACAAGAAGCACACATAAAAGACCTGATTTAGTTCACCATTAAATCATTGAAAACCAAATGATATGTGAAAGTGCTGTTTTATCTTAACTCAAAACTCTTCAATTTTTTCGACAGTTATAATAACTTGATATAGAACTTTCAAGCCTCAATTTAGACAGAATTACCTGTAGACAAATTATACTGACATTAATTTATTCTCACTCTGAATTTGTTTAACTGAAGTCACTTGATAAGTTAAACTATCATTCAAAAGTGAATTATGTCAATAAATGCGTCATCTTAAATTCAAAAAAAATTTTTTTTTTAAATGCTGCGTACGCTTATAACCTAGTCTGCATTTAATTAATTCAAGTAAATTGGTCAATGGGTCACAACAGTTTACAGTTACCTTTTTTAAATTTTATTCAGTAATAGTTTGTTGCCTAGTTCTGATATGAAGACTTGAATGGGTTTTTTTTAAACGTTTGATAATATTAAAGAATACGAATTGTATTAATTGTTTACAATAAGTAAAAATTACTGAAAGGTAAATTCATTATACCAAGTTATGTATACCTATATATATATTGATTCTTTTATTGTTGCTAAAAATATATCGATTGGTATGGTACTTTTGTTAACATTAAATAATATACAGATTGAATGTTCATAGTGTACATTGTGAACTGATCTTAGTTAGTTTTACATAGAAGTATCAAACTTAAAGCAATTGATTTCAATTATTCATTGGATATTACAGTATGCGAACTTGTGATGTGTGCAACTCACTTAACCAAAAATACATTTTTCTTTGATGATAGTATAAAAAACCTTTTTTTTTTGAGCTTGAAACCAAAGATCTCAGTGTTGTAATATTTTCTGAGCAAAACGATTTGTTCGGGATAAGCAGAAACAATTCAGACCGAAATAAAATACAAACAATTTCTCTGAGAACATGTTTTTTTAACTTTCTCTATTAGCATAGATTGTTGTAACTGGTAATTACCAATACTGTTCTTATACATATTATATGTTTTGACAGAATTCTCCACTAATTTCACAATCATTTATTGCTTGTTGAAAATAAATTTGAACAGATAATGTGATGAAATCATAAAAGATTCATGAAGAATTGTTGTTGACTTTAGAAAACTAAAATATCATTGAAAAAATTTTATTCCAAATTTGAATGTTTTTTGTTCAATATTCAAAATCTCAAGATAAAATTATCACTTTTTAAGGAGAGACAAAAAAAAACAAACATCACATTCAAAATGAAAAGTAGTAGAAATTTAAATATGATGTGTTTTTTTTTCTTCTGACCTAATAAAACAAATAAATGTTCATATGACTTTTGGTTGACATAATTATTGATATTTACTTAAGATTATTCTCAATTTTTGTGCTTATTTTAAATATGTATGAATAATGGCGGTAGTAATTGGGAAAAAATCCGAGTAAATCTTAACATCATATCTATATACAGAACTAATAATCTTTCAGTTCATGATGATATCTTAATATTAAATTTGATGGCGATTTCAGTTGGTCACTATTTTACAAGATAATCGATTTAAATGAAAATCTAACAGTATTTTAAAAGTTTTCTATATTTTTTTAAATCAGATCTCATTGAACATTGAACAGTTGTACTTTTTGGTAAAAGAACAACAAGTTTATTGACCTAAATATATACTAGATAACCTTAAAATTGGTTTTAACTTTTCTAATTCTAAACTAGTCTGTACGCATCCCTGGATTACTGGACAGTAAGATTAACACCATAGTTTCTGGTATTAAACAGGAAACTTGAATAAAGAATTTTTGACAATTTCTCAAATATTACTTAACACAATTAAACATTTTAATCTTTTGTTTCCACTCAGAATTAAGGGAACTAAATGCAAATCGACAATTCAGTACATATTGTGTAGAAAGGAGTCAACAAAACGCTCCTGATCAAATTTTAAATTAATTGATTTTGAGTCAGTAATATTTGCTACAACATGGTTGTTATTTGCCTATTTTTTAGTAGTATAACTATTTCAAATTCGGAAATGGTTTAGGTAGATTAGTAACAGTTAAAACAACTTTTACCTTATCATAACTCTTCATTAGAGAAAGACGTGTATTGTAGAATTAAAATTTTTAGTTTCTTGTCTGTCAATTCCTCATAAATAACAATTAAACACCTGATAAGACTAAAATCCAAATCTAGATTATTTCTCATCCAGTTAGTAGTCACTAATAATACTTAGTATTATTAATGAGTTTCTGATAGTTTGCAGTGGGTTTATGTGTGAAAAATGTGAAATATTTCACGGGAACGTATTTATTTATATTGTCAGTCAGTCAGTCAGTTGCAACGTAGAACTTCGTACGTATGTACATAAGTTCATGTAGCCATAACACATTTGCACAGAGACGCAAATGTCAAATCAAATCCCACAGTGATAAAGATAGTAGAGGTATTAATGGCAATGAAGAAGACTAGGGTTTGAAGATATTATTCAACAAGTATAATTCAGTGAGATAAGGTTAGAAAGACAAAGGTGCAGGTTCTGACGAATCCAGAAGATTAGGATTTGTGAGAGCTCAACGAATGGATGCACTTCTGCCATTGCAAACGATGTTTAGCCATGTCATTCAAGGTCTCTAACCGTCGGTGTCGTTCGTCTCGCGGACCCCAACCAGGTAGTCTACATCTACCAACATGACTCAGTCCACTTCTCAGTGACTTCATGGATTTCTACCATGTTTTGGTCTGGCCGCCCCTAACTTTCTTCCAACCTACTCCTACACCACAAAACATAGCTCGTAGAGGAAGTCGGTGGTTTGGCATACGTAACACATGTCCCAACCACCTCAACTGATGAAGTTTCACTACTTCATCTATTGATCTGCCATTCTTACCTAGCACCCGTTTCCTAATAACAGCGTTGCTCACTCGCGTGTCCCACGATATACGAGCAATGCTTCGAAGACACCTATGATCGAAAACCAGTAACCTACGAATATCTACTCTCACTGGCCATGTTTCACAGCCAAATAGGAGAACGTAGCGAACTGCTGCGCAGTACACCCGTCCTTTGGTCAGCGAACGGATATCTCGCCTACGCCATAAGTGACTCAGGCTGGCAAAAGCCAGTCGAGCCCTCTGTATCCGTGCTGAGATTTCGTCAGTCACCAGGCTGTCAGCGCTGATGAGACTCCCCAGATAAATGAAGCGATCAACAGGCTCGACTACTTCACTCCATATCACTAGTTCAGGTGCCGATTAAAACCCAGTCTGTTGATCTGCCCTTAATTATAATTTCAAGTTTAAAACTAACTTATCATTACCCGCTTTTTGCTAGTGTTTGTTATCTGTTTAGCAGAAATTGCATAGAAAGCTGGCTGAATTTTATCGAGACCATGAATTAAAGTTAGACAACAACTGAAAACCAACAGACATTGAATAGCTACTTTGTACTAGATTAAAACTCTTTAACAATCGGTACCCAATAACCCATCAACGATCGAACACAGGATCCGCATGTATCATGGTGAGCGTCTAATTATTAAACGCACACGGAGCTAGCGTCCAGTTGTTTCTAGAGCGAGAATTATTATTTACTGACCAATGACATTAATCAACGAATATAAGCTGATTCCCAGAGTGCTAGTAAAACACAATTACCAATTGAAAACAATGTAAGACGGTTACCAATCGATCTAAGTTACAAATATGCACCCTGAAGTTTAATGGTTGACAGCCTATGATGAAACCTGGAGGCCCTGGTTCCAATCACAGATGTACGCTACTGAGGGATTCCGTACTAAGATGGAATATTTGTTCAATATTTCTGCATTTTCATCAGTTGTCTAATTTAGATCGACTGGTGAATTGTTTTAATCGTTTAAATCAATATTATATCAGTCGGTGTTTCATATTCAGTCGATATATAATTTCATAATTAATTTGACACGCATACGTTCATAAAAATTTTTCACTCAATCAATCAATTATTAAACATGAAGTAATTAACTAAGATAATGTCTCTATATGCAATTAACTTGAAGTGAATGGTATACTATTGCTTATGACCTATAAAAGTGCGACATTTTAAAAAGTACTTTATTTTATTTAAGAATGAAAGAACGATTTCTCAAATTTGATCAAAGTTTATTGAAATGTGTAGATACTATGAATTTTCTTTCAAAGTGTTGGAGATAAGTTTGTGAAAACATGCTGGGAACATTTCTTTTTGAAATCTATTTTAGCGTGTTTTTCCATAGAATATTCCATGGAACATTGAATGAGTATTTTACATTCAGTAAAATTGGAGTTTGTAGAGCCCAGTTGTCTCTTTTTTACAACTTCACGTTTACAACACTATTTAGTAAAATTCTGCTCTTTCCACCATATGATGAGAATATTTCTACAAAACTGAATGGTTGTAAGCGAAAGTTTGACTTTGAACCTTCCCGGAGTTCTAGTGAGAAGACGTGACCGATGCAGTTCAACCCTGTCGGGTGTAGGCAGTAACTAACAAAGACAAATGGGTGAGGTCGCGCAAAATCCCTAGATCAATCAGAGTAAGACATCAACACCGTTGGATGTTGGCCCAGTGGTCGCGCCCCTGAAACCGAAGGTCCTGGGTTCGAGTCCCGCGAAGTGCAGGAGTCGTGGACGCGCACTGCTGGTGAGTCCCATACCAGGACGGAACGGCCGTCTTTCAGTGCT